TGCTGGAGTTGGGGGAGGAGTGATTTGGGCATTCCCTCATGGCCACCACAGCTAGGACCACAGTAGGTCATACTGAAACCAGGCAAGTTTCACCCAAATCCTGTGGTAATTGCTGCCTGGCCACCTCTGATATTTATTCAAAGCCCAAGGTTCTTTAGTCAGCAGGTGGTGAATCCAACCAGCACTGGGTCCTTCCCTCCACGGCAGCATGTTTCCTTCTGGCCCAGGATGGGTCTTGAAATGCCACCTAGGAACTAAGGCCTGGAATCACTGGCTTCAGGAGTCTACTTTGTACATTATTTTTCTGTGGCTGAGCTGGAGCCAAGTTGCAAAACAAAGTACTATGGACTCTTCCCTTTCATTTCCTCAAGTGAGAGAAGACTCTCTTAGCTGCACTGCCAAGAATTTGGGGAGGGGTGGCATAGGCACTGGCTTGGCTGCCACTTGTGGTGTCTCACTGAGTCACATGTACCCCAGGTCCACATGTACCCCAAGCCAGCACAGCTATGGGAATTACCCAAGGACTACAACTTTTGTGGCCTGACGGTTTTACAGATTTATTCCAGGCTCTTGGCCACTTTTTATCAGTTGTTGCTGGGGCTAGTTAGAACTTGAGTTTAGGAGCTGGGGAGTCCCCCCTCTTGCTGACCCAGGGGCTGCTGTAAATGCTCCCTCTGTGGTGACACACAGAATTCTGCCCTGTGCTGTGTTCCTGTGGGACAGGGCAGCCCTGAGTTCCAATGCAAAGTTCCACAACCAGTTCACTGTCCCTCCCCTGGGCACACATATTCACTCTTCACTTGGCATGCTGGTGGCACTGCAGGGAATTCAGGGAAGGGTGGTGTCAGGCATTCAAAACTGTCTTTTCTGCTTTCTTCAGTTCCTCTTTCCTTGATATAATGTTAAGGTCAGGTAGTCAGGTACTTTGATCACTCAGCTCATTTTTGGTTCTTCAGAAGATGTTTCTTTTTTTTTTTGAGACGGAGCCTCAAGCTGTCCCCCTGGGTAGAGTGCCATGGCATCACACTCACAGCAACCTCCAACTCCTGGGCTCAGTTGGGTCTCCTGCCTCCCCCTCCCAAGTAGCTGGGACCACAGGCGCCCGCCATAACGCCCGGCTATTTTTTAGTTGCAGCCATCATTGTTGTTTGGCGAGTCCGAGCTGGGGATTCGAACCCACCACCTCAGGTGTACATGGCTGGCGCCTTAGCCGGTTGAGCCACAGGCGCCGAGCCAGAAGATGTTTCTTTGATGGTAGTTGTTGAATTTGGTGTTGGTGCAGGGGGATGGTTGCTAGAAGTTTCTGTTTGGCCCTCTTGCTGCACCCACTATGGATTTCTGGTTAGTTTTTCAGATGGCTGATTCATCTGAGAATTCAGATTTACTGAGTTAAGGTAATACTCTCTTTTCATTAAAATGAAGTCCCATTTTTATTAAAGTAGGTCATACCTGAGATTTAAAGAATAAATTACATATGGTAAAATCATATAGAGAGTGAAGGACATGAAAAAAAATTCAGCTTAGTGAGTGATTATCTGAAAAGAAAGAAGGGCACATGAAGAACATGCAGAACTTCAAAGATACGCCTGTAGTCGCAGCTACTTAGGAGGCTGAGGCAAAAGAATCGCTTGAGCCCAGGAGTTTGAGGTTGCTGTGAGCTGTGATGCCATGGTACTCTACTGAGGGTGACAAAGTGAGACTCTGTCTCAATTAAAAAAAAAAAGAACTTCAAAGATAATGAGAATTTATTTTTAATCGGTGGTGGATGGATGCACAAGTATTTTTGATATTACTGTTCTTTATAACTTACATATATTTTACAAAACTTAGTTACAGTGTTCTACTATAGAAGAATAAGATTGAGCTTACCTCACTGCTTCAACCCCCCCATCCAAAGGCCTGTCTGTGCACACAGACTTCTTGTTCCCCTATAGTCCCAATATGATTATACCAAACATTTGGTTTCCATTAGTACTGTTTACAATATGACTAGCCCCCGAGTAGCTGGGACCACAGGCACCTGCCTTCTGCTGTTTCTATGTAATTTATTTATTAATTTGTTTGTTTATTTATTTTTTGAGACAAAGTCTCACTTTGTTGCCCTGGGTAGAGTACCATGGCATCATAGCTCACAGCAACCTCATATTCCTGAGTTCAAGCAATTCTCTTGCCTCATCCTCCTGAGTAGCTGGGACTATAGGCACCTACTACAATGCCTGGCTGTTTATTCAGAGATGGGGTCTTGCTCTTGCTCAGGGTGGTCTCAAACTCTTGAGCTCAAGCAATCCACCCACCTCATTCTCCTAGAGTGGTAGGATTACAGGCATGAGTCACTGCACTTGGCCTGGTCATTTTGTTCTATATAATATAAGCATTGTCTTACCAGTTTTCTTTTGGTTATTAAGTGTCTGGTATAGTTTTTTTTTTCTATAATTATACTTTCAACATGTCTCTCTCATTTTCTCCAGTTGCCTTTTGAAAACATAGAACTGATTTTTAAAAATACAATTTGAAGTGGCTAGCGTTTAATTAATAGGATTAATATGTATTTATTGTAAATTACTATATATTTCTACTTTTATTGTTTTTTCTTTTATACCCTATTTTTTCACTGCCTCTTTTATCCTGCTTTTGCTGGATTTTCTTTGCCTCCTGCCCCCCTTTTATTATTATACTACTGAATAATTGAAGTACTAATCATCTGGTTATTTTGTGTGGTAAATTCTCTGTCTTTTCTTGTCCAAAAATGTCTTTATTTCTTTATGATAATTTATCAAGGGATAAATTTCTAAGATGACATCTTCTTTCAAGACTTTCAAGATGTTCTTTTGTCTTTTGGCTTCTTTTTTTGTTGATGAAGTCTGATTTTGATATAATTATTCCTTTATGGGAGATTAAAAAAAATTGTCCATGGTGGCTTTCAATATTTTCTTTCTGACTTTAAAGTCATGTGGTTGGACTGAACTTTTTATAGGTGTACTTTTGTTGTATTTATCATACTCAGGACTTTGAACATTCAGTGGTAGGATGCACACCTTTCCTCCATATTCAAAGATTCTCTAGGAAAGTCTCATAGGACTCAACATATAATTGTATTCACATGTAAGATTTATTACAGTGATGTCATAAGTATATACAACCAGATTATACAGTAAAAAAGCACAGGAAGAGATCAGAGGAATCTATGTTCAGATTTCTTCATGCTGTTTCCCTCCCATGAAAGATTACACAGAGCACATTCTTCCCCCATCATCAATAATGCAGCACCATGTCCATGATATTTATGTTGAAGGAAGCCCTCTAGAGACTCAAGACCCTTGGAGATTTCTAAAGATCTATCACCTAATTTATTAAATCTGTCTTTATCTGTGGCTAGTCTACTGTTCAGACCCTCTATTTAAAAGTTTTATTTATAAATAATGCCTATATATTTCTTATATTCATATTTCTTTTTTTCAAATTTTCCTATTTTTCTCTCATAGTCTACTTCTTCCCTTATCTCTCTGCATATTTGTGATATAATTACTTTATTTTATTTCTTTTTACTTTTTTATTTATTGGTTCAGGTTCATTGAGGGTACAAAGAATTAGGTTATGCTATTTGTATTTGTTAGGTAAAATCCCTCTTACAGTTGTATTCTACCCCCAAGAAGTGTGCTACACACCGTAACCCCCCACCCCCTCCCTCCTCCCTGCTCTCTTGTTCCCCTACCCCCTACCTTGAATTGATTTTGAGTTTTTCTCTTTTGTGGCTATGTATTAGATCATCTACTGGCTTCATATTAGAATTGAATACATTGGATTCTTGCTTCTCCATTCTTGTGATATTTTACTAAGAATGTATTCCAAATCTATCCAGGGTAGTACAAATGATGTAAAGTCTCTATCTTTTTAATGGCTGAATAGTATTCCATGGTGTACATATACCACAGCTTGTTAATCCATTCCTGGGTTGGTGGGCATTTATGTTGTTTCCACATTTTGGTGATTGTAAATTGATATACTTATTTTAAAGTCCAAATTTTTCTCTCACTTATAGGAATAGGAATATCTTTAAATGTATCTGTTGTTTCCAACGATGGCTTAGTTCCTTGTAAGGCTTTAAATGTTTTACTCCTCCTCAGTGAAAGTTGCTTTTTCATAGAAGTCCTGTTTGAGTCCTAAGCTATAAAAACATGAGTATATACCTTTTGGAAAGTTCTGTATGGTGTCAACCTTCTAATAACAGGACAGATTTTTATGTTACTTTTTCTTTTCTTTTTTTTTTTTGAGACAGAGCCTTAAGCTGTCCCCCTGGGTAGAGTGCTGTGGCATCACAGCTAATAGCAACCTCCAACTCCTGGGCTCAAGCGAGTCTCTTGCTTCAGCCTCCCAAGTAGCTGGGACCACAGGCGCCCACCACAACGCCTGGCTATTTTTTGGTTGCAGCCGTCATTGTTGTTTGGTGGGCCCGGGCTGGATTCAAACCCACCACCTTTGGTGTACATGGCTGGCGCCTTAGCCACTTGAGCCACAGGCGCTGAGCCATGTTACTTTTTCAAGTATGGGCTCTGTACTACACTTGTAATCATTTGGACTGAGTTACTGAGCTAGGCTTTTGTTTTCTCATAGATAACATACTTTGTGCCAATTTCTTTGGTTAGCAAGGAGTCTTCTAGTTCCTGCTTAACAAATATAGAAGTCCTTTGTAATTCTAGCTTTAAGCAAAAATTACACTCTGAATTTCCTGAGTTCCTGAACACTTGTGCCTTGTAGTCTAGTCATATTCAAAACTTCAGTTTCTGTTTACCCCCTCATTTTTAATTCCCTCTTCATTTTTGATACCTAATAAATTTCTTTTCTTGGTTTTGACCTTGGGCCATGGGAAAGGTTCATCCACATTAGCTCAAGTCATGTTGATAGTTTATCCCAGGGTATTCAGGGCTTCATTTTATCCTAAAACATTATAGGTAGTAGAAAGACTTATAGTATGTTTGCTGATTCACTGCATTTTTTTCTAGAAGTCTGGCAAGTTGATGAACAGATAGATAACTACAAGGAAAGCCAAGACAGACCTCTGTGGCAAGCTGCATTTATAGATGAGGAAACACTGAAAGATGAAAGTGGTCAAGAATGTAAAACAGATAGAAAAATCATTTATGTGAGCACAGACTTAGCTTCTATAAGACAAAGACTCTCTAAATATTATTTACAGAGAAGGTGTTCAAAACATAATTTCAACTTTCTTAGTCAAAATAGAAGCTATGTAAAGAAGAAAGAGGATGGTTATAAGTCATATTGGAAATTATGTTTTCATTCTAATCTTGATAAAACTTAGCTTGCAGAGAAAATTTTCAACCCTAATCAACGAAGAAAAGCCTTCCATCCTAAGCAAGCCCCTGATAAAAATCAGAGAATTCAGACTGGGGAGAAACTCTATGAATGTACTGAATGTGGAAAAGTGTTTATCCAAGAAAGCAAACCTTGTTGTACATCAAAGAATTCACACTGGCGAGAAGCCTTATGAATGCTGTGAATGTGCAAGAGCCTTCAGCCAGAAGTCAACCCTTGTAGCACACCAGAGAACTCATACAGGGGAGAAGCCCTTTGAGTGCAGTGAATGTGGGAAAACCTTTATTCAGAAGTCAACTCTAATGAAGCATCAGCAAATTCACACGGGAGAGAAACCATTTGTACGTGGCAAATGTGCAAAAGCCTTTAAGAGTTCATATCACCTTATTAGACATGAAAAAACACACATTAGACAAGCATTTTATAAAAGTATTAAATGTGGCTCAAGTGGCTAAGGCGCCAGGCACATACACCTAAGGTGGCAGGTTCGAATCCAGC